AATCTTCCATTTAGAGCTAACCATCTATCAATTCTACTTCGGTCCTGTTGTAGTCTAGACTAGAGATCAACTGTGATTTCTCTTGCTGCAGGTCTGAACTTGTTTTTACACAAAAATACTTTCATTGGAGAAATAATTTAGATTAATCATGCCCTCCAAGAGGAATTTTGTTTTTTAAACCCAAAATATAGATTATTGTGGTGAAAAATTATGTTACAATTGTGATAGTCTCCAAGGTATAAACAATCGCTTGAACTTAACAACCATTTACAATGTAAAACTAAATCCATATTAGGGTCTGCTTTATATTAGGCAGCACTACATAAGTTTATCACAATTTTCAATACTTTTTTAAATTTGGGATTTCAGTCTGTTGTTTTCAACATTTACCTTCAGAAAGTGGAGAGATTGGGTTTAATTTCCAAAATTAATCTTTTATTTGGGATTCTCTGGAATATCACCAGGTAGTTAGGACAAATTCTAGAATTCTAGCATTGGCTGCGAAGGATGCAGTTCAGATCCACTTTTAGATGTAGTTTGGATCCACTTTGTATTAAATCCCTCTTAAAATATGACAAAGGAAAATGTTGGAGCTTTAATAAATTTACCAAAAATCTAAATATAATTTTTTTGAAAATGTTACGATTAAGCAACCTTCGAACATGCTTTCCTATCTTATTCGCTAAAATGAAAGAACCAAATTAACAAATTTTGCTAAGGAAGAAAAAAGCTAAAACCTTGCTTTTTATTATTCATAGTATCGGTACTGGTAGCAGTTTGGTGCTTTAAAAATAAAACAATTCTATAATTTAAGGTTTGCTTATCATTATGGGATTTGGAGATAGGCATAAATGCATGTTTAACTAAAGCTGTGCTACATTAAAATGCATCATGGGAATACCTTTAAGAGGCTGTGATGTGTCCCCAAAAGACTCCAATGGTGCATTTTAATCAGCCGAGTGCATTACAGACTGCATCTCCCTAAGGTGCCTGCATTCATCTCTTAATTGTATGGTATTGAATTTGTATGCCAGCGAATGTTTGTAGGTGTTTTAGTTATGACTGATTGCTATATAATGAATGTCCCTTTTGCATGCCTTTTGGGACAGTAGGCCACAGTTCAAGACGGGCAATGCTTCAGCAATTGCATGGCATCAGTATTTTCTCTCACGATGAACACCATTCTTCCTCATATTCATGGAGTGAAAAAGGTAAGACTCAGCTGTATCCGTAAGTGATGTACGGTCTTATCCCTTAAAGTAAACCTCTGAGCAAAACAGCAAACTATTGGTCTAGCTCCTTATTAAAACCTAAGTGTTGGAAACTTAATTCATTGTCATCTTTATGGTGCTCCACTCCTTCTCAGTAGACTAGAGGATTAAGCTTTTAGTCACCGTTTCAAATGTAAGCCTCGGGTGTAGAATTTAAGTCCAGTATTGTTAATCCATTTATGAACTGAAACTTTTCCAAGCAATGAGAAACAAATGATATCACCTATAATAATAATATTCCTTGTATTTGATATAGCTCCTTATCACATATTTGAGACCTCTCAAAGCGCTCCACAGAATATACTGTGAAGTGTATTGACTGTATTTTGTGGGCAAAACTGGCAGCCACTTGCACACAGCAGTGTCCTACAACAGTCGTGGATTGATCTCCACTGTACTCCACTAGGCATTCCTCATCTTTCTGTCCTCCACATTTCAGCTCGTATTTTTGATTTAGATACCTCCTATTGTAGCACGAGCATCTCCTCCCCCCCTCCCCATCAAAATAACACACAAATACTTAGTGAATTTATAAACTTAGCAACTCTGTCCATCGAAAATACAACTACTATCTAAACCAGCAGAGGATACAGGTACATTAACCTTGAGGCTACAAGGCCTGTTATGGGAGAAAAGAAAATTGGGACATTTATATCTTCTATCTTTTCCACCCACTTACCCCCCCCCCCCCCCCCCCACCCACCCACTAGACCATTGGAATATGCCACTCAACACTATTTCAGATTGAATCTCAACCAGGTCCTCACGTTGTTTTATCAAGTTAATATTGAAATACAAGGATTAACAGTTTCTTAAGCATATTTTAAGGTAATTTTAAGATTATGTTTATCTTCAAATGTTAGAATTTAGTTTAATAAAGTACCTATCAGATGTGGGGAAGATTCACTTTAAGAAATAAGGCACTGGCAAATTTATTTTTTTAACATCTCTTTTTCATCCCATATTTCTGGTGCTTTTTGCATTGCATATGACAACCTTTACTTGAAAGGGCAGGTAAGTCCAGGCTGTTGATTTCTCTGCAGCACCATCATTTGTGTTCCATGACCAGCCTTCTCAACAGGAAAAAAACAAGATCATTAATACCTCTCTCCTTAACAACATTTTTGTGACCTGCTATCTCGTGGTCAGCTAAAATCTGATTAAACAGTTCCTATTTATATCGATTTAAAACCATGAAAGCTGGGTCTGAAGCCATTGGGTTATTGGAGACTTACCTTTCTGTTGCAGAAGTATGTTTTTGTGTTTACTACTTTGATTCATAAAAAAAGTGTAATTTTTTTGAGGGGGAAATCCAAAATCATATTGTATTTCTCGCATTGTTTGTTCTCCAATTGAATAATGCATTATACCAAATGCAAGGATTATTATAATGTTTGACTCTTCACAAATACTACAAATTGCAGACTCAAATGCTTGAATTGTCGACGTTTTCTGGCCCATTCAAATCTGACATCTTTACAGGATCTCAGCTAGTAACAAATGCTAATGTACCACTTGGAACTCACTGCTGGCTGTGCTACGTTGGAGTTGCATTTGAGCAGCAGTTAGAATCTCTGTTGCCATATTGTTTATGCGATTCACTATTTACAGCTTATTTTTAGAATGAACAAACAAAACAGAGTGCACAATAAGAAAAACACAGGTCAAATATGACTACGTATTTAAATCAGTGTAATTTACTGTTTGGATGCAGTATGGAATTCATTTAATTGATAGTCTAAAATTAGTTTGAAACCCTTTAGCCTTGCAGTTGTTTCTTTGCCAGCTGCCACCCAAATGTGACAGACTATTGAGATAGTTTTGTTGGGCTAAAACTCCAAAAGAAGTACAATACCTCCTGGGAGAAGGAAAAGTAACAGGCATTTCGCCCATTGTGGGGACAGTAGTTAGTGATAGTGTTACTGGACTAGTATCCCAAAGATCATGGGATTCAAATCCTGTACAACTTATATTCCAAAAAATTAGTAATTAACACCACAAAAAAAGACTTCATTTTTGTTTTTACAAAAAACAACCATTTTTGTCCTTCAGGGGAGGAAATTGGTCTTTCTTACCCATTCTGGCCTACATGTGATAGGCAACCAGGGATGTTGCCAGTATTACCCAAATCCTGAGCTGAGTTTTCTTTATATTGCAACACATGGAATCTCGTGGAGTTGACAAACTAGTTATATATGGAAAAAGAGAACACTAGTTGAGGAATCGACATGCCAGAAATTCGGTAAAATAAAAAACGATCTCTAATGAAGCATCCCTGTTACAGGAACACGTCTGTTGTCTTTGTTGTGGTATAATAAAAAATCTATACGCGCCTTTGTTACTGTAATCAGACTTAATGCATGCTTTCTATCGGATTTCAGATATTCAAACAGGCTGTGTTTAGCAATATTCAGATACCGTAGTAGCCTACGGATCCATTTGCTTTTGTAGTATTCTGTGGCTATCGGAGGAATTTAGTTTGGCTAATTTTCACATGCAAAGTGTAGTCACTTTGCTCCAAATGCAGTAGTTCAATTTGTGACATTTCTTTAAAGATATCCTAATAGATACTGACTCACAGGAACACCGAACACGATTATTTTTTTGTAGTAGGTTCCCCCAAGTTGGGGCGGCACGTACGACTTGTATCCTGGCCAATAAGATATAGGTGATGTTGAGCTTGGGTTTAAAAGACTGGTTTGTAAGCAGAAGGCAAAACAGAGGGAGGCAAGGAATCAAGTGGCTGAGGTTCTCGAAAGGAGTGAGTTGGAGTACACAATAGTTTGATGAGCCTTGATTTACCTTGATGTCTCCTGCAGCATCTGCAGATTTATACTGCATGATTATAAATAATAATGCAGTTTTGTTCTGTGCATTTATCACCCATCCCGAAAGTTGAGTTCAAATCCCGAGGTTGTCTGTCATTTTAATTTGCTGACCTCAGTTTTGTGAATATCTTTAAGCGATTGGGTACAGATTTATTCAGAAGTGAGGTATTCCATTCTCTGAAGGAAAAAATTGAGATTCTGCACATCTTGCCTGAATTGTGCCAACCAGTAATGAATACCAGTTGATGCTGATGATAGTTGTTGAGAAGTCTGTGATCCAGACAACCTTGTACTATGTGGTGGGGTATGGTCATGAATAGATATCAAGGAGATATTCAATGGAAAGGAGTATTCCTGGGAAATTATCTATATGCTACCTGGACTCAAATCTGGTTTGGGTTTGAGTAGTTTAAGTGTTAGATTTCAAAGTACTGCAGCAAAGGGCTCTGCCACGATAGTATCTGCTATCATGGAAAGACAAATCACTCTGGGATCATTATGACTGAATCATTTTTGACCCGTGTAAGCCTATTGAGTGTTCTTTCAAAGTGGAAGCAAACTGAATCAAGTCCCTTGTTAGTTTTGGTAAGTGCATTGCTTACATCATCTTAACTGCTCCACATTCTTAGCTCTATAATTCTTGTATCCTTAGGTTTAAAGAAAACTTTGTAAGAAAAGGAATGCCACAGATTTGAGATGTAATATATATAATATATACAATTTTTGAACCATTCTTCATTACCTCCTTCCCTTTCACACACTCACATACAATATACACAGTCACATGTTTAGTATGTTTGTATAACAGCACTAACTTATTTGAACGTTTAGAATAATTTTATTTGCTAGCTTTTAACTGTTTCTTTATTTCATTGCCGTTTCATCCCCTGGATTTATGCAGAAAGTAGGGAAAACTCCTTCAGCCGTTCCCGGAGTTCCAGTGTCTCCAGCATTGACAAGGAATCAAAGGAAGCTATCACTGCTTTGTACTTCATGGAATCCTTCAGCCAGAAGATGGACTGCAGCCTCTCACCATGCCTATGGGTTGGCACCAGTTTGGGCATGGTCCTGGTCATCTCTTTGAACTTACCTCTTGAGGAACTGAGACAAACAGAGCCCGTCATGGTCTTTCCTAGTGGTAAGATTTTTTTTCTTCGTATTTTCCTGATAAAATGTCTCATGTCAATTGTTTATTTCAAAATGTGTTTAGTTGAAAAATATGGCGAAAAATGTAGTGATACTAATTATTGATAATATCGCATTTGACATTTTTAATCCTACGATTTTAGAACATTCACACTAACACTCAGAATTCATGAAACATAAGAGATCTTGGTCACTTTGTTGAATAGCATTGATGTTAAAGGAATCCTCACTGTCCATCGTCCATACGGCTTCAATCACCAAATTGCTGCAATTCAAGGTTAGGTATCAAAGGACAGCTGAACCCTGCCAGTGTTTGAACTGTAGAAAATAACAGGATGGTAGCAAATGTAAGACATTTTATTTCAGATACGATTGAATCTTAATAAATACAATATAGGTAATGGTCGCCACTAGTCATTGGAGCACATTTGTACTAAATGTATTTATGTTTGTGGGCCACTGCTGTGTGCAATTGACTGCTGCGTTTTGCCCATAAAATGCACAGTCAATCCACTTTACAATATTTTTGTAAAGCTCTTTGAGAAGCCTCGACGACGTGATAAGGCGCAATATCAAATGCAATCATTATTATTATTTACTACTTCTAGTTGTTTTTCCTTTCTTCAGGAACAGTGTTTATGTTGAAAGGAGCCTTGCAAACATTCTCTTGCTTGGACTCTCTGGGTAGTTTACTAAGGTCCCCATATGAGGTCTGGCGGGATCCGAACATCAGTGAAGATAAAGAAGAGAAAGCACGGAAAAGGAAGCTCATAACAATTTCACCACCTTCCTCTCAAGACGTGGGAGACCACCAATATGTGCTGTTCTGCACCGAGAAACAGGCCAAACTTTACTCCCTGCCTTCTCACAGCTGCTTGTATGTGCACAATATCACAGAGACATCGTTTGTGTTACGAGCGGACGTTGTAACGATGTCCAGCAGCCTCTGCCTAGCCTGCTTTTGCGCTAACGGACATATTATGACCCTAAGGTAACTTTGTTGTACAATAAGTAGTATGGTCTATTTCATAATAACAGAAAAGTTATGATGTTTACATTTTCTTGTGACATAAATGTCTCAGCTGCCACTTTTTTCTGCCTGCCCAGACTGTATAGTAGGAAGGGAGAGGCTCCTGCAACTTGTTCGCCTGCATCTTTCTTTAGCCAGCCGAGCAGTACACCCACAGTTTCCTTTCCAATGTACTTGGGGAGAAGCTCCTTGTCTCCATTCTGCCGCAGTGTCTGGTTGAGAAGAATGTGCAGGACACAGATGACAAACCATATTTACCAGTCCATTAGTGCTGTACATTGGAGTTCTAATGCACTGGAAATTTCCCTGTTTTTATTGCTTTTCATTTTATTTGGATTTCTTTTTTGGTCTTTACCCCTTACCCCCTTGAACTTTCCTCGGCTGAAGCTATTGAACTATACTGATGTTCAGTTCCTAAGGTGGCAGTGTGCCTCACCCATTCTTAGTGGGTATACTTTAATGATGAGTGTTGTCCAATTAATAATAATAATAATAATCCTTGCATTTGATATAGCGCTTTTTACGTCTTCTAGACGTCTCAAAGCGCTTCACAGAATAGACTGTAAAGTGAATTGACTGTGTATTTGTGGGTAAAACACGCAGCCAATTGCGCACAACAGTGTCCCACAAACAGTCGTGGATTAAAGTGACCAATTTTATTGTTGTGTTTTTTTGTTTTTTCTTGAGGGATTATTATTAGGCATGTGGTGTAAGGAAACTTGCCCAATGTTTCGCCCTGCCGGAATCAAACCCAGGTCTCTGGCTTGCAAGGCGAGTGCTCTTAACAACTGAGCTACAGGACTCCACAATTTGTGTTTAATAGAAACAGCTTCTTTCCACTGCAAAAAACAATCCCAGTACTTACACCCATGTTGAAAGCTTGGTAATAATAAATAAATTAATAATAATAAATTGGTCACTCAATCCAAGACTGTTTGTGGAACACTGCTGTGAGCAATTGGCTGCCGCGTTTCGCCCACAAAAAATAGTCAATTTCCTTTACAGTGTATTCTGTGAAGGGCTTTGAGATGACTCGAAGATGTGATAAGGCGCTATATCAAATGGAAGCATCATTATTATAACTGTAGCTCTCCATCCTACAGCTCAGTTGAGGTTGGGTAACTAATGCAGACCTAGGATTGGATCTGCGACCTTCCTGATCTGTATGACTCAGCTCCTATCCAAATAAATGTGCTGAGCCCAATCAATCTAATTAATTTTCTTTATTATTTATCACTTTGGATGTGATTATCTTCTGTTGGTATTCTCAGCAATCTGTGCATTTTGTTGAACTATAGCTTACCAAGTCTTCGACCATTGCTGGATGTAAACTACTTGCCTTTAACTGACATGAGAATAGCACGGACCTTCTGCTTTACAAATGGTGGACAGGCTCTCTATCTGAGTTCCCCCACGGAAATCCAGCGGATTACTTACAGCCAGGAAATGTGTGAAAACATTCAGGTGAGGCTTTGATCTGAGATGTTTTAGCATTAGTGTGTTGTGGATAGCACTATAACTTACAGAATGAGAAGAGAAGAGTGAGCAAACCTTTCTGACAAAGGAAAATTGAAAGCGCTCCATCGTTTGGTAGAATATTTAGTTCATTGTGTAAGAATTATTTACCCAGACTTAAAAATTAAAAGTATGGTAAACAATGTTTCACTGGTGTTTAGGATCTCAAGATATAATAATGTAAAATGATTCAATGCAGTTTTGTGATTACAGCTTATTGTTATCTTAAACCAGCAACAATGGGGTCATTCATGAGTTTTATTACCAACCACAGCAATAGAAAATGATACATTTATCTGAGAAAATAAAATATTAAAGGAATTATTTTGTGATTTGATTTAATGCAATGGCTTTCTCAAGAAATTGAATTTGAATATATTTGGTATTTTTCTTCCAAATCCTTGTATAGCCAATTTCAGCAATTTCCATGTTGCTTTCAAGATGGAATTGCTCCTGGCTTTGCTCCAACTGTTTAAGGGCAGCACTACCTAGGGACAGCACCACTGCACCCAGATTTATAAAGTGTGACAAATTTTCATTTCACCTTTAAATTAAACTACTCAGCATGCCGAAAGGGATGGTGATAGATTTTTAAAGCAGTTGCAAGAAATGAAACTTGCCACTTGCATACACTACTCATCACATATTCCTGACATCACCATTGTCAGCTCTGACGCCTGCAGTTCTCTGCATTAAATCCAGTAAAATAAAATGGGGTATATAATTGTCCCTTCTACTTCACATTGCAATGATTGCTGCAGGCTAAATCAGTTTAGATCCTGCTGTTACTGTACTTGCAGCTGCAGTTTACTGGTGCCATTTGGCTAGAACAACTGGATTTGTACTGTTTGTAGCTCTATATAGAATGTACAATTTTGATCAGCCACTATCGCACTGCTGTATCCAGCCATTAACTGGAGTGCACTCAGTGGATCTATTCAACTAAGCTTCCAGCGTATAATTAAGCAATTCCAGTAGATTTGATCATTTTATGACTTCTTGCTTCAGTGTAACTATAATGTACTGTGACACATTCTAAGGCAAGTGTGATGACATAACCAAATGTCTCACTACTTAGATGCCTTTATTTTCTTTTGTTTCAGTTTGCTGTTGATGAGTTTGGAGGTTATTGATTTGCCCTTTGATGCATTGATTTTTTTCAGGAAATGCTTGGAGATCTGTTTAACCCTGTTGAAACACCAGAGGCTCAAAACAGAGGCTTTTTAAAAGGGCTGTTTGGAGGAAGTGGACAAACATTTGATAGAGAAGAGCTTTGTAAGTTACCCCTTAACATATTCAGAGATTATACAGAGGGTATCACATAATTTCAATGTTTCTTTATAGCACACATTTGGTGACGTACCAGCACTGATTTTCCATTTCATTAAATGTTAATCTATTATATTATTGGTGTTAGAATTAGTGATGCTATCTGTGTGGGAATAAAGCCAGTTTTCTATACTGCTTGTTCCAGCCAGCAGTATTAAGTGATACCCTTCCTCCCGCCCAGAGACTTAGTCTACCACAAATATACAGTCAGTCCACTTTACAGTATACTCTGTGAAGCACTTTGGGACATCACGATGTGATCAGTGCTATATCAAATGCAAGTATTATTATTACCACCACTGGAAAGATGTGGGAAAATAAACTCCCACTTGTAGGGGGCACATGGTTCTTTATAGGGCACTTCCCTCTTGCAGCCAATGAATGTAAAGGAAAAGGCCCTCTGAATCTACATGGCGTTAGGAACCACATTTGTACCCGTGGTCATCTACATGGTAAGTTAAACATGTCAGTGAAATTAATCACTACTTCCAAACAATAAAATATAATTCAATGGGTCACATATATTTACACTTCATGTGTAGTTAGACCAGCGTTCCTATGACGCATTTCAGGACACCAACTTTATAACTGCGAGGATCCGAGAATGGGAGAAGTTCTCTTATCACTGCAATAAGTTAGATTTCACACTCTATGTATTAGGTAAGGAATAAATTTGCAGGTGATCCTTGTCTTAAATTACACATAGAATGTGTTGAGGGACATGGCAAATTTTAACCTAATGGTTCAATTCTACATTGCTAAATTATCATTTCTTGAAGGTTTTTTTCTTCTTTCAGTTGGTGAGGCTTCGGCGGGAAAGGCATCTCGGAGTCTTGCCCAGCACATCCCAGGACCTGGTGGACTTGAAGGGGTTAAAGGCGCGGCGTCTGGAGTTGTTGGGGATCTAGCTCGCGCTCGCATTGCACTAGACGAACGTGGACAGAGATTGGGGGAATTGGAAGACAGGTCAGCTGCCATGATGTCGAGTGCAGAGTCGTTCTCCAAACATGCACATGAGGTAGGCTGCACGTGGTTCTTTATAGGGCTTTTCTCTCTCACAGCCAATGGATGTAAAGGAAAGACCATCGGACCGAGAGTGGCGTTGGAGAATTAGGAGATGCACATTTGTGCCCTTGGTCATGTTGAGTGAGACATGTCTGTGTGGGAGGCACCAAATAGAGGTCAGACATTGCCACACCATGGGTTACCTCATGCTGGTCTCATTTGACAAGGTAATTGTTGATTTCACCGGCAGAGTCTTGAAAACTGCTCACTCACCCACTAAGGTGACCTATACAATCCAATACAAAATTTGTAAAGTGTTTTTCGGGTCAGGACGACGTTGGGGGGGCGTGAGTGGGTTGGGGGGGGGAGACAGTTTTTTTAAAGTCTCATACAAACCACAGCACTCCCTCAGTTATGTACGGAGACATCAGCTGAGATTATGAACTGAAGTTCTGGTTTGAGACCTGAAATCTTTAACATAAGAACATAAGAAATGCTAGAAGAAAAAAGACCAAGATCCATCTAGTTCGCCTTCCAACTTCCTGACGATCGGATGCACATATGTCCCAAACTACCTATGTACTATATCCCATAATGTTATTTCTGAAAAGAAAACTATTTAATCTGTGTTTGAAAGAATCAACACTTCCTGCTTCAACATCTCCCTAGGGAGCCTGTTCCACAGATTCACTATTCACTTGCTGAAATAGTGTTTGTGTAGATTGTTCTGAATTTATCCCCTTCAATCGCAGGCCGTATTCTCTAGTTTTACTATTCAGGACAAGTTGAAACAGCCTGTCATCTATATTGTCTTGCCCCTTTAGAATCTTAAAGACAGCAATCGTGTCGCCTCTCAATCTTCTCTTTTCCGGTGTGAACAAGCCCAATTTACTTAGCCACTCCTCATAGTCCAAGGGAAGGGCATATCACAGAACCGAGAATGCAAAACTGAATGTTGTGGTTCATAAAGCTATCTATACTGCCTTAACCACTGAGTAGATTATAGACTTTGTATATGGGCTATCAGCCAGAATGATTGTCGATCTGTCTGTGTCATTGGGCTCCCTGTGACAGTCTTCGCTCAGGTGTCTCTCTTTTCTTCTTTTTCCAGTTGATGCTGAAGTGCAGGGATAAGAAGTGGTATCAGTTCTGAAGACTTCACGAGCCCTTAGCAATGTATTGATACAATAATGCCATTCAGGAAAATGGACATTGTCTCCTTCCACTGGCCGCTGGAAAGGAAATGGCTTTTCTCCTCCAAAATTCCCTTTACCTGAAAACAATTTGGAAAAAAAACCACCACGCCCTTCCCTTTTCCACAACTGAGTGAGCTGAAGGCTTAATCAGAAGTCTCAGTTCATCGGGATCATTGTAATAGAATCTCAACCTAGAAGCCTGTGTGTTCCCATTTTACCAAGCTGCTACAATGGACATTCTTTGTTTAAACAGAGCTTTTTTGCTCTCAAAATGATGGGGCGGAGGGGATGATTGGAAGGGAGGAGCCAGAGCCACCTGGTAGAAACTTGTACAGGTTTGAATGATAATGCTCCTATACAGAACTAGACCTACCTTAACACCTTGCATGAAAAAAAACACACCACACTTATGATGAAAACAAAAGCATGTTATTACAAGGGAGTGGAGGGTGGGGGGAAGGAACAGAATTATTTCTAGCATAGGCAGAATATAACAGGAAAATAAGCAAATATTTCTATTTTTTAAATCTGCATAGCAAAGCCAAAACGTGCATAGGAACTGCAATAGAGGGTTGATTGATGGGTTGGTTGATTCATCGAAAAAGTGGACTTGTTGTTCAGTTGAGGTAACTTTATACAATGCCCAATAACAGATAAGCTTGCAGTAAATCTGACACTTTTACAAAGATTTCCCTTTGCAGCCAATTCCAAGACTCCTACTCCCCAATCTGACCCCTCCCCCCCCTTCCCCCAGACATCAGCAAATTGCTCTAAAATTGGTAAAGCCCTCAGCTTGCCTGATGTTAGCAACAATGGAGTGAAAAGTCAGATCATCAGATTTGCTTTCTGGTTACAGAGTATGCCAATACTTTCCTTTTTTTAGTAAAGCGAAGTGATAAAGCCAGACATAATCAAACTGACCTCTTGAGTGTGTTGATATCTTGAGGGGACGTGGATTATCCAACTATATTGACTATAACACTGGATATTGACAGCTTTGAGAAGTTGGGTAATGCACGGAGCTGGGTATTGCCGGAGCTATAGATATCCAGACTCTGTATGTCATCTAGCTCTGATTGAGATTACATTAGATATGTCCTCCTTTCCACTTTCCTCTATTACACTTTCCATATCACTCTGCTTCACACCCACTGCATACTGTGAAACAGGATGCAAAATCTCAGCTAACTTTTAATCAGAATCATCCTTACACAGCATCATGCATTTCTCAAATGTTGTTTATATAAACAAATTGATACTCCAGCTATCAAAGCTGCTGACAGTCAGATGTTGACAGGGTGACTTCAGGCAAGGATTCTGTTCTACATGCCAGTACGTGGAGTCCTGTAGCTCAGTGGTTAGAACACTCGCTTTGCAAGTGAGAGACCTGAGTTCAATTCCAGGCAGAGGGCGAAACCTTGGGCAAGTTTCCTTACTCCACACAGAGCCTAATAATAATCCCTCCAAAAAAACAAAAAACAATAATAAATTGGTCATTTTCAATCCACGACTGTTTGTGGGACATTGCTGTGCGTAATTGGCTGCCGCGTTCGCCCACATATATACAGTCAATTCACTTTACAGTATATTCTGTGAAGCGCTTTGGGACGTCCTCCCGACGTGAAAAGCGCTATATCAAATGCAAGGATTATTATTATTTAGTACAGTAATTTCTGTATCAAACTGTTGGAGAATTTACATTATCTCATTCTCAGAATGGCACAGACATGAAACTCTGGAGCCAATACACTTCCAGAGCACACATTTTCAACAGGGTTTACGTTACCTGCTTCACTCCTACTGAATCAATAATCTATTCCATTTGCTCCACTATCAATTTAGTAGAATAAAAATGATCAAGAGATTGGGAAAGGCATAGTGTTCAATACCATTATAACTGAGAAGTGCTAAAATCTCCCTTTTTCTAATACTTTACACTTAATCAGTTTAAGTGACAATCACAGTAGAGGTTGTAATCTACAAGGCAATTAAATCTCACCCTTTTAGAATACCCAATTTACCATATTCCGAATTACTGCAGCAAGCTGTTTCTTAAATGAGTCATTGTCCTTGCCTCATCCTACCATTCCTGGTAACCAGTTCCAGTTATTAATTACCCTCTTTGTAAAGAAATTCATCTTGGTGTCTATCCTGAAAATGCCCTTTTCGCCCCTGATCTTGTACCTCGTTTGCTGACTTGATATATCTGCAAGTATTGGGTTTACTTTCTCAATCCCATTTGACATCTTGTGTCCTTCTTTAAGATTACCTATTTTCAAGGCTGAAGAGCCTTAGTTTATTAATGGTTCCTTGTAGCTCATCCCTTTAATAATAATTACCTGCACACCACCTTGCACGTCCCTTAGGGCTGGGGAAGCCCCCTTATGTTTTTAATAATAATAATAATAATCCTTGCATTTGATATAGCGCTTTTCACGTCTTCTAGACGTCCCAAAGCGCTTCACAGAATATACTGTAAAGTGAATTGACTGTATATTTGTGTGCGAACACGGCAGCCAATTGCGCACAGCAATGTCCCACAAACAGTCGTGGATTGAAAATGACCAATTTATTATTGTTTTGTTTTTTTTGGAGGGATTATTATAAGGGTTGTGGAGGAAGGAAACTTGCCCAAGCTTTCGCCCTCTGCCTGGGATTGAACTCAGGTTTCTCACGTGCAAAGCGAGTGCTCTAACCACTGAGCTACAGGACTCCAGTTCTCAGGCGCACCTGACTAAAGCACTGTAAAAATTGACCTTGACTTCTTGGCATCTGAACTCAATGATTTGGCAATACAGCACAGCATCCTGTTTTCTGTCTCACATTGTTTCAGAATGATCAGAACTGAATGTGATCCTATATTGTTTATGCTGAAACTGCTGACACTCACCATTATACATTGTGCAGTAATAAGTACTTATCTATAAGTAATTTATTTCTTGATTGAAACCGGTTGGAAATTTATGTCAGATTGTTCCATCTTAATTTGAATTTCCCAAATTTATATCTCAGGTTTGCACAGAGCAGAAGATTGGAAATATCATATTAGCCAATTGTGAGGCAGAGTAAATATCACATTCTTTGTGATTCTTTGAAATACATGAGCTGCAGTTTCTCAATATTTCATTATATCCCCAACCAAACAGTTTCCCTTATTTACAAAATGATCAGGTGCCACAAGCGGAGGACGTTTGTGTAATCTAAACCCAGAACAGGGAAAGTCTCATTTGAATATCACTTATTTGACAGACTCACTCTTGTGCACTTACACTGCCTCCTTGTGTTGGTTGGTTCACTCTAATCAGTATTACCTTCAACAATCGTAGCTCAGGAGTTAACAAAGATGCTGACTATTGTCAAACAAACCACAACATAAATAATAAGTGCTCCAGTCTGCAAACAAGAGATTTAATTTGTGGTATTAACACAATTCTCGATGATAAATGTTCAATTAGCAAATTTCTAAAGCATTGGATATGTTGACATGTAATTCATTAATTGGAATCCATATCTTCCTCCAGTTTATGATCGATCCTACTACACACTTCATTCTGAATCAGAATTGCCTTTCATTCTCTTCACATTACCAGGAGTAATAGATGTTTGTCATCCATATGCAGTGTAGACAGACATCTGTTGTTTTCCACACAGGGCACAAACTCAGAACTACAACTAGTCAAGATGAAATTGTGGTTATTTTAACATTGTTCCTACAGGTAGCACAGAAATTTCACTTCAAAATCATTCAGAGTGAAATTAAAAATTATTTCTATTGATGTAATGTCAAGACAATTATAAAGGATATCAGATGTGACACAACATCTGTCCCACCACTTATGTAGTGAAATAAACGTTATCTACATATTGGGTTTCTGTAGATCTTATGAAATCACAAAGATCTGGCTGGTACAAAGTTGAGATTATTGATATGTAATTTTCTTCCCCCTCCCCCCCCCATACACACACACACCTCACATTCTCCATCTTATTTACAGTTCTGCTTAGGTTTTTATTGAGTTTTCATCTTTTTCATTTGCAGACTCACAAAACGTGATGTAGATCTTTGCAGGAGAGGATGGTGCAAACTGAAATAAGATTCATGCTGTTTTGATTCAGATTTCCAGCATTTGCAGTATTTTGCGTTTTGTTCATGCTATCCAGGATGCATTAGGTTCAAACTTTGTAATTGGTTTGTGCCAGCAAGAGCTTCACCTGTTAGTATTTTATTTTATGCTAATTTATCACCTCCAATGTGTCTTGGCTTCATGGAGCCTCCTTCAGTTAGGATAGGTTGGTCCTGACCGCAGAGTGTGTGCAGTGCCTCTCCTTGATCAGCCTCTTGCTCTAGGTTGTCTATCTTCCAGGGATACACACTCCACCTCACCAAGCCAGTCAGGAACCTAGGCGTCTTGTTCAACCCTCAACTGTCCTTTATCCCCCACATCCATGCCATGACCTACTCTGCCTTCCCCCACTTCTGCAACATTGCCTGACTCCACTACTACCTTACCCCTCATGCCACCGAAAACCTCATACATGCCTTCATTACAATCAGGCTGTACTATGCCAAAGCCCTGCTTGTCGGCCTTCCCAACACTTCCCTCCACAATGTCCTCACACCCACCTCCCCCGGCTCCACTGGATCCCCATCCCTCAGAGGATCGAGTTCAAAATTCTCATCCTCACCTTTAAGGCCCTCAATGGCCTTGACCCCTACTACATCTCCGATCTACTAATCCATTATCAACCTGTCCTTATCCTCCGCTCAGCAGGCTCCGGCCTGCTCCATATCCCCAGCCCAGTCACCCTCCTACCCTTTCTGCCCTCCAGCCTCCCTGATCACAAACCCCCCGCTCGGGTCCTAATGCTTGACTATCCAGCGCCTTGGGACTTCCTTTCGACGTGAAAGGCACTTTACAAATGTAATTTTGTACGGTATTGTAGGTGAATGTGTGGAAAGTGATGGACAATCTC